TCAGAACATACGGTTCCCTTGGGCAGATACTCTCAGATCAAGAAGGGTTTGGCAGTGCAGATGTCCAGGCTGTTTGCTCTTTCTTATCTCCATGAAGTTGAATGAAGCAAACCTGGTGCTAGGATTAGGAAAAGGGTTTTGAATGGTGGCATTTTAAGCAGTGTCTTAGGTAAGTTTTAGGTCACCCAGCATTTAATGCTGGGGAAGACAACAGGTTTTGCTCTGCTCTAAACCAGCCAGGGAAGTTCTGGGAAAGGTAGGAGAGCAGAAGAAGACTCCAGCAAGGGATAGCTCTTCTCCTCCAGAATTAAGAAAACATAGAGTTTGGAGAAAAGAGAAGAGAAGAAGAGAGAAGAGAAAAGGAGATGATGGGAGAGGGGTAGGAAGAAAAGGGAAAAGGGGAAGGGAAGGGAAGGGAAGGGAAGGGAAGGGAAGGGAAGGGAAGGAAATGAAAAGGAAGGAAAGAAGCTAATTCTGCCACTTGCTTGCTGTGTATTTGGGGTGACTGCCTTAAATGCCTAGGTCTTCATCTATAGGAAAGATTGGGAGAGGGTGAAAGAGAAGCAGGTATGCACTACAACTTGCACAGTGCCTGGTACTTCACATCATTCTCTCCCTCCAAAGACAAGGTGTCTGTGTTGAGGACAGTGAGGGCTAAGTGGCATCCTGAATAGTGTGTGAATAAACAGGTCTAGCCTAAGAGCCAAACAGTGGAAATACATATATATCATCTCTCAGATCTCAGGAGAAAACCTCTGGGAATAGCCAGAGGAGAAGTGGAAGACAAAATGTTTAGAAATCAGTATGAACATTAAGAAAATAAAGCTCAATAGTTCTGGGACAATTTAAAAAATTTTATCCCACTCTCATTTATAGCCTAAGGCTACATCTAATGAGCACAGTGTATACCCTATGATTATTGTAGAACTGGGTATTAAGAGATTTCAAGGAACCACTTGTGACAAGGAGACAACTCTCACTCTGTTCTTTATCTCAGTGACCAGTCAGTCCACTTGTGGGCCAGCATAATAATTTACACCGAATCCATTCTGCTTTGGTTTTCTTCCTCCTCTCATTTAGTTTTCCTGGGCACCCCACTGCACACCCCAAAGATGAGGTGAGTGATAGCAGAGTCATGTTTTATGTGGGCCAGTCTTTCACCAAGTAAAGTGTAGCATGTCCTGTATTAAGTGGTTGCACCTATCTTTAAGGAGCTTTGGAAACTTGAGTCAGCACGCATTGGAACTCATCTTTTCTAATCATCCATTTAGGGCTGGAAGCCCCTGAGTATTGTCCATGACAAGTAGCCATGTAACACCTGCTTGAGCTCTTGCTGTGACTAGAAGCTGCCTAACACTCAGAGAAACCATTTCATAGATCCCTAGGGCTGAGTATCAACAACAGTGGATTCTCAGTGGATGTAGAATATAAGATCATTAACTGATGGCTCAGATTATTTTTCATGTTTATTAATCTATTCATGAGCAATCTCTCTCTCTCTCTGTCTCTCTCTCTCTCTCTCCTTAACTTATTCTTGTTTGGCATGGAGCTGCCCAAATATTGCCAGTCTCTCCAGGCTAAAGGTTTTTTTTTCTTCAAATATTCTTCATAAAGCTTGCTCTTGGACCTTGTCCTTATTCTGGTTTCCCTCTCCTGGGCAATGTTCCTTGCAGAATGTGACAGCTTAAATATAACAATTTGAAAATATCATGTTTCAGCTGTAACTTGGGACCAGAACTCCTCTTATTCAGGTATATATGTTTCAGTGTAGCTCAAACTGTGCATATAAATAACCACACACATGGAAACATGTTCCAAGTACATAGACCAACTTTGATGACAGACAATGAGGAAAAACCTGATGGAATAAATTCCTTCTGGATTTTAAAGCCCCAGAACTAGAGACACAAATGCAAAGAAGGGCAGGAAGGAAAGGAAAGACAAGGGAAGCACGTGTTTTCAGACAAAGGCAGCATGGGCCCAGCATCAACACAACTTGGGGAAAGAATGTTAGGAGTCCAGAGATTCTAGACAGCAGAGAAAGCTTTTGACTCTGGGGCTCCTGGGCTCCCTCTCCAGGATGCTGTGCATCTTCCTGATCCAGTAGATGAGGCAGAAAACTGATCAACATTAGAGGCACATCAGCCTGAGTTTAAATCATTATTCTACCAGGCTCTGCAATGTTAGAGAAGTGCCTTTCTCTCTCTGAGCATCTATTTCATTGTCTACATAGTGGGAACAATGATGTCTCCCTCCCCATGTGGCTATGATGACTAAGGGAGATACAACAGATGGGGTGCCATGTAGTACTGCACGCATACTTGGTACTGTGTTTGCACTCCTCAGCATGAGCTCCCATCCCCACTGGAGAAGCTGCCCTGGGCAAAGGCTTTAAGCTGGTGATGGACCCTCAGTGTGGGACCCTTGGGCAGCATGATCTCTGCTGGGAATGAGTTTGCTCAGGTGTTAAGGACAACCATGATTCTAGGCAGAGACTTCCAGGGATGCTAATAAGGATGTCTTCTTTCACATTTTATGAGACAGCTGTCTTGGAAGCTTGGCCCTTCTTGTTCTCCCCTGCCCCTTCCCCTGGATAGTTAGCTTTTGTCTTGAGGGTGAGACTTCAAGATGCCATCAGGGGCTTCTGATTGCTGTTAGCTCCACCTACCCACAGGCAAGCATTTTCTACAGCATAATTTTGTTTAAAACATGGGCCTCTGGGCAGTAACAAGAACTGCTCCTTTACCAAGCCAGTGTCAGGAGATTGTAACCTATTTTGTACACGTGTGTATCGAGGGGCATTGGTATCAAGGTGAGCATGGGAAAAAATACATGTGGTAAGTAGTGTGTGTGCATGTGAGATCTATGCACTCGATCAATCTGGTGGAGAACATGGAAGCAGAAGTAATGCACCCTGACTTTGTGTACCTGAAGAGTGCGCACCTACACCAGAGGGTGTCATACTCCATTGCTTTCTCCAGATTCATCCCAACAAATTATCATTCTGTCAACATTTTTTATTCATTTGCTCCATGTTCTTTTATTTAACATATATTATGGGCTACAGATCATATTAAGTGCAGAGGAGAGAAAGAAGAATCAGGTCCTATCTGTGGGGGAAGAAAGACATGTAAACAGATGAACTAGAGAAGAGCCCAGTTTGAACTACAGAAGGAGCCAGGTGCATGAATGGGTACGCATGCAGCATGGGAGGAACAGTGAGACTTTGGGGAACTCACAAAGGAAGTGGTACATTACTGAGACCTTGAGGATGAACAGAAGTCTTTCCAGCATTAAAAGGGAACAGTGGAAGCATAGAGGATATCATGGGAAAGGCTAGAAGTCATGGACAGACACTTCAGTTGGGGAAAGCGCACCTGAAGCATGGGAATACTGGGATACAGCAGCACAAGAAGTAACCAGAAAAACTGAGGTCCAGTTGTTAAGGAGCTTTATCTACAGAGAAGTAACTGGAGCCATCCAGACAGAAGTTGTCAAAATCGTGGATTTGGACAGCAGCTGTGGGGATAGAGGGGAGAAGGTGGGATTCAGGATGGGTTTCTTAAATGGAGTTGGAAGGACGGTGATGGAGCTCGCAGACAGGGCTTGGGAGGAGGGAGGAGCTGAGGATGACTGATGTTTCTGGTTTGGGTGCTTATTGACTGGATAATGTCACCGTGAACAAAGACTGAGAATGCAGGCTCTGCGGGGGAGGTTAGGTAAATAAGAGTAAATGGCAAATCCGCCATCAATCTCAAGGACATTATGTGGCCTGTGCCTTGGAATGAATCTCATCTCTGTAGTGCCCTCGAACAACTTTGTCTACTGGAACTGCTCAGTAGGGACACCGAAAAATTTTGGAGGACTTCAAGGCTCTTCTTTTGACTGTAAGATGAGGCTCTTCTGGGCCACTCTTGGGCATCATGGTGGTTGAGAGATATTCTCCTGGATCAGACGAGCCTTGGTTTCTTTTTTTTTGTTTGTTTTTCTCCGGTACCGGGAACCGAACTCACGACCTTGCACTTGCCAGGCAGGCGCTTTTGCCGCTGAGCTAAATCCCCAGCCCGAGCCTTGGTTTCAATCTTTCCCTTTTGTAGCTACTAAAAACTTATATGGAAAGTTTATTTAACCTCTATAGACTGTAATTTTCCTATTTATAAAAGAGGTACGGTCAAAGTGTCTACCTCATAGGGTTACTAGGGAATTAAATGAGTTACTATGTTTAAGGGACTCAGAACTGTGTTGCACATAAGACCTCACAAAGGAACATTGCTATTGTTAGGAGTATACTTTTTCTTTCTTCCCTTTTGTATGTATATGGGAAGGGAGAACTCTAGCAAAGAAGGAGACAAAGACCAGTCTATAATTCCCTCCATCTAGGTTTCTTGTAGAAGATTCCACTAAGGCCGACAGAATGTAGTCATAATCTACTATCCTCTAGACACAAATACCAGGCTCTTGGCCACTGTGATCAAAATGTGCATCTGGCCATGTTCCCACATGACCGTGTGGATCTGTGATGGTTGCTTGTGGGTCTCTGACCAGGTTCCATGTCCCGCAGCCAAGCTGGCAGGGGTCAGGGAATAGCAGGACAGCCTGGCTTTGAGGCTCAGGCCTCGCTGGTGCTGTGCTTCAGCCGGTTCAGCCAGCCTCTCCCCTACTGCAGGAGGCCACCGTGTCCTTACTTTTCTGTAGGTCTCTTCTAAGAGGTCAAGAATCTTTGCCTTCCACCCAGGGAATAGGTGCTCTGAGGCTAAAATTCTGGGGTAGCCTGAAGTGACCTTGAGCATGGATAGAAATCTGGCTTGCCTGGGCTGTGTCCCCTGTACTGACAGCAGGTGATCTTCCACAGGCACTGGATTAGCGTGACAGTTTTTCTTATCCATTCCATAATTTGTGCTATGGCCCAAAGGAGATGTGGCAGGAAAAATGTTCTGCTCAGCATCAGAGAAAGATTCATGCCACAGGTTGCCTTTCCCCTCTCCTGGTCTTGCCCACAGTAGAACCTGCAGAACTCCTCCTGGCCTCATGTCAGAAGAAAGCAAGTTTGAATGCAAGGGCTGAAGAAAGGGAGAAGAGTGATAAATGAGATGCAGCAGAAAAGCCATGAGCCTCAGAGTCAGAAGACATTTATTTGAATCCCAGGTCTGCCATTTACTAACTGTGTGGGCTTGACAGGCTGCTAAACTCTCCTGAGGTACTTCCTCATCTGAGGATAAGAATAACAAGCTCTCTTCTTTAGAGCATTATGGGTATCTAGTGAGATCACACAAATAAATATGCTGTTTTGTTAGCTTGACTTTTTATGACAAACTATATGCATTTTAGCATCTCTACATATTTATTAAATGTATTATGGTCCCAGGCTAATGCTGAGGTAATATTTGTCCTTATCGTGTCTTCTGTGTGACTATAAAGTCAGCCTCCCTGGCCCTATTCCTGAATGCTTAACTATAACCCATCCTTCAGAGCCCAGCTTTAAGTTAATGCCTCTGTAAGCTCCTTTTGCTCTCCACACAAACACAGACACAGACAGACGTGTGCACACACACACACACACACACACACACTCACACCACACACAAACACAGAAGACAAGATGACTCCCTTCTTCTATGAATTTTCATACTAAGTTACTAGTTTGCTCCTCCTGCTGGTCCATATTTTTTATTCTGTGTTTCAAATGTTCATGGACCACAAGCTCCTGTCCAGCCACAAATCCCATACAAACATGAGGGCTTCAAGGATGGGATTTGTTGTTTTTTTCTGTCTCCTACGGAGCCTGATAGAGTGAGCACCAATAAGTCATAGGCAGCGAATAGATAAATTAACGTCTCATGCTTCAGCTGTCAGAACCACACCATGCTGTCTGTTTGTGGCCTTTTTCTCCTCCAGATCCACCTCTGAAGAGCAGGCAAACTGCTTTCTGCCTCACACTTGCCCTCAAAGGAGTGACAGTTTTGTCATGAGATTTTCTAACGCCTCTTTTGATAATTATGGGAGAAATGGAGTACAAAGCTACAAGCATAGCAGCTCTATTTAGTGTCCCTTGAGAGCTATTAACTCAACACATCCAAAACTGAGCTCCTCAGCCCATCAGCCGGGAAGAAGTCTTCTGTCCTCTACCTCTCAGGTGCCACTTGCCCCTCCTGCTTTGTTCCCAGGTAAGTGGGATCTGATACAGTATCATGCATATGTGTATGATTTGTATAGATAAGAAATGGGACTTAAGAATTTGTTCTAGAATGAATAAGACATTTGAGAATGCTGGGATGGGGAGAACGCACTTTGCATGTAGAAAAAATATGATTGGAGTATGTTGGAGGATGAACTGTCATGGGTTGAATTATATCCCCAATTACATCCCTTGAAGTTCTAAAGCCATCTCTGTAAGTTCTGTGACAAAAGTCAAGATAGTTACAGAATAAGAAGCCAACAAATAATTGGTATTTTTCTTTTTTATATTTCCTTTACTTACTGACTTCTAATACTTTTTATAACCTTGGGGCTGGCATTATGCTAAGAATGTGCATGGATTATTTCATTTCCTTTTCCTACCCACCTTTATCAGTCAAGCATCCTCTTCTTGGTATTATTAAAGGCTCTGAGTCTCAAAGAGTTTTGTCCGGCACTTATAGCTAGAAGGTGGCAGGAGAGAGTGTGTAGCCCAAGCACCCAGAACCCATCACTCTGTTGATGTAAATGGAGGGATGGGCGGTAGAGCCCTGAAGTCTCACAATTAAAAGCATGTATTCCCCTACCCCCGCAGTCCATCAGCATGCAAATGGAGACCTCCCTAGTCCAGCTGCCACTTCAATATCAGCTGGTATTTTTGTTGAGAGAGAGGAAGGAAGCCTTTCTCCCATGGCTGTGAGAGTTACGCTCCTTATCCGTCACACCCAGCTATGTGTGTCTGTGTCAGGGGAGGAAACGAATGAGCTCAAATGTTACTGACACTAGCAGCGGCAAATGAGGAGCTATTTTATCTCTTCTGCGCAGAGCATAAAGCTATAGCCTGGGCTGCAGCCCAAGCTTTATTTACAGTGTGTAAGTGGTGAACGGAGTCCTGGCAGGGGACTCGCCCTCCCACACAACCCCACCCCACACCAGGTTGGAGGCAAAGACGAATTAAAAACACAAGCTGCTTGGAGAGAGATAAATCAATTTTCATCAGAGCAGCGCTCCTGACACCACCCTGACAAATCAATATCTTTCTCCATAATGGAGTCACTAAAGCTGCAACCAAGTCACCAGGAAACGCAAAGCAGCCCCATAAAGAATATCGCAAAGTAATAGAACATCCAAATCTGAATTTCAATTATCTGCCTTCAAGGGCATACTAATGCCTTCAGGAGAGGAGTCCATCAAGAATTCATGGAACCAAGCATCAGAGCTCCCCATCAACAGTTCCGCAGGCTTCCTGGGTTCCCCATGCTCCAAGTGGTCAGAGGAGTCCTGCCAGCCTATGAGAAGAATCCAGACTCCTCTAGAGCACGGCCACCTCTAAAGTGAAGGAGTTCGCCACAGCCCAGCCAGCCTACTACGATCTTCCTCGTGGGCCACTGAACAGGGGAGCGATGCACATCTACTGAGATTCTAGGCAGGTGTGGTGGCTGTGTGCTACATGGGGCCACTGAGATCAAGCAGACCTGGCACCAACACCTCGAACCCCAGTGGCAACTACCCACCCAGGCAGGAGGCTGGTGCTTCTGCTCCTTTGGCGATGCCATATTCTGTTTCCACTTCCCCTCTTGATCTCTCTCCCCAGGCTTCCAGGGAATGAATGAAGAGCCTGACTCTTGGGCATGGCAGCCAGCTCCCCACAGACATCCTTTGGTCTGCACTGCGGGTCCCTTGGATGTCACGTTGGCCATGTATATACCTCTTACTCTGACCTCTGACTCCAGTGACAGCGACCAATGACCACACAGTAACTGTGTACTGGCAAACAGCCCAGAGTCTGCAACCATCTAATCCCTGCAGCTGTCAGTTACAAAGCCTGAGGGACCTGCAAGGCTTACTTTTTCTGTCTATGAGATGGAGCAATGTGATCCTACCTCAGAGGACTGTTGTGACCACAGGCAATTCCTATGGAAGTCTTTACTTTGCAAGGGATCACCCAAAATATTGTCATTTTAATCTTCCTAACAAGCCAGTGAAGCCAGTGCTATTTCTCTTACCAATCTACAGATGAGATTAGGCACAGAGATCAAGTTAAAGAAATGACACGTGAATGGTGCTTAGCACAATGCTGGATGCTTTGGAAAAACTAGACAACTATTAGTGCCTGCTATTTCCGTAATATTTTATAGACTTAGCAAGCTATTTAAAAGCTGCCTCGTGTACCTTTGCATCATTGATCAGTTCAACAGAATTTTAAAAATTCAAAATACTACAAAATAACCCCTTCAATCCACCTCCTTTAGTACTGCTAAGGAGCTCATTCTAAAACAAAGAGATGTGATACCGCTTCCTTATTTATATTCTTTCAGTGGGTCCTTTTTATCTTCTCAATGAAGACCAAACCTCTTAACTTTTTGGCCAAAGATCCTCTTAATCCAATTGGCTTGCCCATCCAGCCCGGTATGGTGGGTTCAGGCCACTGTAGAGAAGCACTATGAATTGGGTGGCTCAAATGACAAGTATTCATTGCTCACAATTCAGAAAGTTGGAAGCCCAAGGCCAGACAGCCATTATGGCCATGCCCTTGGTGAGGGCCATTTCCTGCTATATACATGGCTGCCTTCTCAGTGCATCCCTATGTGGATGAGAGAGGGAGCTCTAGTTTCTTTCTGTAAGGACATTGCCCCTGGGCTCCACCCTCACAAGCTCTTCTATACCTATTGCCCCTTAACACCATTGCATCATGGATTTGGGTTCAATATATGAATCTGGGAAGAGACCAATATGCAGTTCTTGAACATCATTCTCAGTGCTCCCACGTCTCGACTCACAGAGATGTGTCCTGCCCACCCACACATCAGGATTTTTATGCATGCTATCACCTTTGCTTATAAAACATTTGTTTCCTTGTTATGGAAAATGTTTTCCTTTTCTCAGTAAAAGTCATCCCCACCTGAAAGCTTCCCTGCACTAGGGCAAATTTTTCCCCTTCATCCTCAGTGTTTCTTCAGCACAACACTGGTGGCACAGCATGGCATTGTCCACCCACTCCCTGCCTGCCACTGGGTTAGGGTCTGCTGGATGCTCAGGCCTTGGTGTTAATAGATCCCAGGTATCCAGCTCAAATCTGGTACACAGTACGTGCTTGTATGCATGCATTGCTGGGGTGGCAGTTTACTTGTTCTAATTTTGAGTTACAGAGGGTGGGTGTTATGAACAATCCTAATTTTGCCCTTGATCAGAAGACAACCAAAGGTTTTAATGCAGTCCTGGGGACAGCGCCAATTTCACAGAACTTACTCTGGCTAGTTTAATCAGGAAAGTAATTTATTAAAGGATGTTAGGCAGTTTATGGAATCCCCAGGACACTGGAAAAGAAGTCTCAGAAAGGGAGCAGCCCTGAAACTATGCTAAAATGACCACACCAAGCTGACCCAGTGAGTTCTCCTACTGCCATCTCTGGCCTGGGGAATTTCAGCTCCTGCTTAGCGTTTGAATCAGTGAGTAACACAGCCGTGCAGAGGTAATGATTCCTATCTTATAAAAAGGGAGATGGAGCAATCTATGATTTGCTCACAGTACCATGAATAGAAAGTTGTGAACTTGCAGTCTCAGGCTTGGGCCAGTTGGTCTCCACTGGGAACAGTTACCCAAACTGGGGGTGTGAGTGGGCTGGGAATTCAGGAGCTGAGGAGCAGGTAGGGGTTCAGATGCATGAAGCTTTGGTTTAAAGAGAAGCCAGGGAGCAGTGAGGAGGCCATGTGCTCAGGCAGCTGGGACCCCATCCACATTGCTCCTCTTGGTTGCAGGTCTCCCTCTCCACTGAGGTGATGTGGAACCATCGGACTGAGTTTTATGCTCATCAGTGTGTCCATGCAAGAAAGGTGAGCCTTCTCTGGGTTGGTGCATTCCACAGCTGATTTGTTTCCTCCGCAGCTTCTGTCTTCTCCGGGAAGTTGACTAATATGCTATCAATTGCCATGACCCACCTGTTGGGCTCTAACAAGTACTGGTCAGGAACACCACGTGTCTATTCTCTGTGGCATAGCTAGGGTTTTCTGGCTGAACAAGGATATATGGATCAGTCCCCATATTCTTCTTGTACTTTAAAGGGCACACAAATCACCCGGAGATCTTGTTCAGCTGGACAGACTGTCTCTGTGGACCTGCATAAGGCCTGAGGCTTTGCATCTCTTACAGCTCCAACGTGATGCCAGCGTGGCTGGTGCATGAACCACATTCAAGCAGCCAGACCACATCTCTGGAAACACATGTCCTTGGCACAGAGCACTTCCTAGATAATTCTACGTGCTGAATCAGGTCAGGCGTGTGCCAGTGACTTGAGTGTGCAGAGCCAGGAGATGCGCTGGCCAGCAAGCCACTGCATATTTAGAACCCACAGCCAACCTAAGCTTGGTTAAGAAAAGGAGGGTTTATTTTCCACCATGACTAAGGTGTCCATGCTGAAAGACCAACAACCCAAAGGAAGAAGGGTAATATCGGACCTTCTCAAACTAGAAACAAGGACTCTCAATCTGGAGTTGTGGGCTTCCCAGCCTCTGTGTCTCCCTCCCCTCATTCCCAGACTCTGCCCTGACTTTCATGTGTACTGATCTCCCCTTCACGTCATTCTGAACTCCATGAAGCTGAAGCTGAGATGGTCTTTTGGTCCCCTCAAGTATAACAACCTAGAGTGTGTTCAGAATATCTAAACTGCCAGACCCTGGCCTGCACAGGACCCACAGCCATAGCCAGCAGTTTCAGTTTGGTTAAGAATGCATACCTTCTCTCCACAAACCACTAATCTCTTTCTGTTCTAAAACCTGCACGCAGCAATCAATTTTACCCTAAAATATAAAGCCAAAATCAACAGGGAAGGCACAGGGTGCAAAGACCTTTCTCCTCAGTCCAGACACATATCTTCCTTTCAGTGTGGCCAGCTAGATCCCTCAGCTTCCCCAGCTCTCCCTCCAGGGGGCTTGTGCTAACAGCTCCAAGAAGCACTCAGATGCCTCCAGAGTCCTCTACAGGGAGGCAAGGTGATTCAGGCACATAGGAGCCTGTGCCATCCAAGGAAGGGAACATGGAGGGGCATGTTAGGAGGATGCTGTACACATAACATGAACTGGAGTGTGGCATGGAGTCCACTTGGCCTGTTTGTTTTTGCTAAGTATCCTAGGCTTTGAAGAAGGGAGGTCAGCTCTTTACGTTCTACCTTACGCTAGCTGTGTGGCCATGGGGAAGTAAGCCAACCTCTCTGAAACTTGAATTTCTTCATCTGTTAAAAAAAGATGATGATAATTCTGACCTCACAAAGTTATTTGCAAGAGTTAAATGAGTGAACACAAGATACACAAAGAATATACCATCAGCCAGGAATTCATATAATGATAATGATAAAACTATGACCCCAGTGCCCAGTATGGGGCCGAAGGTCTTGTGTAACCTTAAAAAATGTTTGAGGAAGAGAGGATGGAAAGAAAGAAAGATGGAGGGAGATGGAAGATGACAAGAAAGAAAGGAAATGCAGAATAAGAGGTTCAGGCCGTGGATGAGAGTAACTAACACATCTGAATCTGGGAGGTCCATCGGATGGAGGTAGGTGGAGTCACATATTCTAAGTGGATGCGTGGTGCCACTAGGCTCACATCATCGTCCCTATTGAGAAACCTCATCTACTGAACACTCAGGGAGCCGACAGCTCAGAGGGCTTTTTGAGGACTGGCACCAGCAAGTGAAGCCCGTGAGACAGCCACAAACCCCAGCTTCCCAGGGTCTCACTGTGTCTATTGTAGAGCTACCTGTTGCATGTCACCGTTTTCCCCTGCAAACTACACCCGTGCAATGTGAAGGGAGTGAAAGGCCCCATTTATGTCACAGCATGACTTCAGCAAGGCACTTTTCAGAGCTCAGTTCTTCTCCTTCAAAGAGGGCAGGGAAAGCAGTCCCTGCCCTGCCTACCCCACACTTACGGGATAGTGCTAGCCTTAAAAAGCATGCCCCAGATAAACTGATTATCAGGGCCTCCAGCACACTCTCCAAGCAAAACATTTCTTGGTGTCCTGTTCCCGAAACTAAAAAAAAAAAATTACAGTAGACTTTTGTGGTTGGCTTCTTTCTCTTTTCCATAGAAAGCTGGGGAGGGGAAGTGAGGTTTCATCAACAGACAGGGTGGTCTGGGTCTAACTCATTCTAGCTCCTTGGAACCCAAGAGAAACTAAAAAATGCCACATACCCTGAGCCCACCACCAGAAATGCTCATTTCATTCTTTGTAGTTGAAATTTTGCCTAGCTATTTCTATATCCCAAGTGATTGTTTATGTTGAGAATTCCTGGACTCCTCAGTGAGGTGAAAAACGAATAAATGAAAGGAAGAGAACAACCTAAAGATGAGAGTATAGTGTGATGTAGAAGCTTTTCCCCATAGCTCAAGGGCCTGTGAACCAGCAGAATAAAAACTATGAAAGCAGCTGTAACAGCTGACATTTGTCAAACACACACCCTCCCGAGCATGTGACAGCCTTTATCCACTGTGTCCTCGCTGATTTTTGCCCCATTTCAGAGCAGGACAGACAGGGACCACTGCTGAATGTGTCTTGCTTGGAGGTAACCAGCTTTGTCACTTGCTGTTAAGCGATGGTATGATAACATTCTGGCCCATGATGTGAAGTAGGAATCCTCTTTCTGATTTCCATTATTTTTAAATCCAAGACCTGTGGAGAATGGTTGTGAAGCAGAATAAACTTTGAGACTCCTGACAGGACATGACTCATTTGACCTACATGTATATCACGGGCTAGGATCTTATTCCAAGGTCTCAGAAGGCCATGTTCTATCTGATGCCTGGGGTTGACAATTCTCAAAGTACTCTCTGGAATGTTGAAAGGCTCCTGGCTAAGGATGAACATCACTGCACACTGCAAGATGTGATCAAAATATATGGTGAGTGTTTAAATCTTAAACATGTTTATTAGAATAAAAGACATGCTGCCTTTAGTTCCCTTCAGAATGCTCCCCCTCACGGTCAATACACTTACTCTTTCATTCTTGTCACTCTCAGAAGCAGTTATGGAAGTCCTCTTTCATGTGTGTCTCCATGGCGTGTGATAAAAAGAAAGTAAATGCTGCTTTCAACTTCCATCCAACAGAAAGAAAGCTGCATAAAAACGTTACAGTGCCTCCTCACCCACCTTATTTTTTAGATCTGGCACCATATGACTTCTGGCTGCTCTGCAAGTCAATGTGACCATGAGAGACAAATATTTTGAATTAATTTAGGATGTCTAGGCAGCCAGGATGGCACAACTAAGGACACCGACAAACGAGGACTTCCAGAACTGCTTCAGAAAGAGGCGAGAATGATGGGATGAGTGAGTTGGAAGCAAGGGGAGTATTTTGAGGGGGTTAATGACAATGCATCGTTTAGCAGTAGATGGTTGTAGTACATAATATTTACATTCCTTGTGTGGAGTTGGTGCATGTACATAATGCATTTTAATTCTTTTTTCATCCTTTCCCCCTTTCCTCTCTTCCCTTTCCTTACATCTTTTGATTTTCTTTCCATTTGAAAATGATCTATCTTCCTATTCTCTATTAACTATCTTTCATTTTTCTCTTTCTGTATACTTTGGGTATCTCATAAGTGAAACCATGTGACATTTAAGCTTAAATGTCTGATTTATTTCACTTAACATTATGGTTTCAAGGTGCACCCACTTTCCTCCAATAAGTATTTTTCTTTTTAAATCTCTTCTCTTTATATATTTTTATCAGTACACGTTTGTAGTACACAATGTTTACATTTCTTGTGGGGGATCAATATATATACATAATACATCCTAATTCTTCTTTCATCCCCTTTCCCTCCCCTCCCTCCATCAGACACAGAAGATTAAATACTGCATGGTTTGTCTTACATGACAAACCCAAATTATAAATAAAGAGCAAAATAAAAGATAGATAATAAGAGGTAGGGAGGAAGATCTTTGTCAAAGGGGAAAGGAATCAGGAGATGGAGGATGAGGGGAGGGGGAAGGGAGGCAGGGAAAAGAGATGAAAACGGATTAAGATGTGCAAGGTACATGTACCAACTCCATACAAGGAATGTAAATATCACATACTCCAACATGTACAAAAATTATTTTTAATTTAAGCATTTGCCTTATTTGTCAGTCATACCATACACACCCTCCCAAGGACTCATAGGCACACCAAACAGCTAGGCTGCTCTCAGCCTCACACTACAGAAAAATAGGTGGTTAGTTTTATTTCAACCAGATTTTCTCCAAGCTGTCTCGGTCTCAGAAGCATTAGATATTTGGATACCTAAAATAAGGCATACTGTTGCCTGCCAAAACTATATCAAATCTTGGTCTCCTGTATAAAAACCTCCACATGTTTTCCAGGTTAATCCACTTTTCTACAAATGTCTCAAATATCCTTCTTTACAACCAAGTAGTATTCCATTAGATATAGGCATCACATTTTCTTTATTCACTCATCTGTTGATGGACATATAGGCTGCTGCTTCCAGGATTTAGCTCTTATGAATTGTGCTGCTATAAACATTGGCACACCTGTATCACAGTAATATGATGTCCTTTAGCTCCTTGGGAAAGATACCTTTCTCAAAGGTAGAAGGAGAATAGCTGGGTCAAATTGAATTTCTAAGTCTAGTTTTTGAGGAAACTTCATGATTTCCATAATGGTTGTACTAGTGTACATTCCCGCATAATGCTAAATGAAAAAAATCAGACATACGAGCTTAAATACTGAATGAGCTCTCATTTGAGTAACACAAAGTATAATAAAAAGTAAAATAAAGCATTAATAAAAGGAATAGCAGAGATAACACTTTTGTAAATGGGACAGGGTCCAAGAGACGGAGAGGAAAGGGAGGGGAAGAAAAGTAAACAAATTTAAATGCACCATGCAGTATACCAAGTACCCACAATGAGTGCAATCATTATATATTACAGATGAACTAAAATAATAATAATAACAATCTGCAAAGGAGATCTGGAGCGAGAGAAACAGGGAAGTAGGTAAAAGGGGAAAGAGAAGAAAAAGAATCAAGATATATTAAGTACATGTACCTAATCCCGAAGACAAATGTAAGCTTTGCATACTGCAAACATGTACTAATAAAATAAAATTTTAAGAAAAAGTTTCCTTAAATTCGCGAAGATGGGTATCTCACCACCAGTGAATCAGGTATGGAGAGAAAGCTCATGTGAGATGTCTTCCACCAAGGCACATCATTTCCTTCCTCATAAGGGGGTCTGATGATGTAGGAGGACTGCAATTAACCATGCAGGAAGCTGGCCTGGTAAAGCAGAAAGCATATACAACAGCCAGAGTGTCCCGTTGCGTGACAATAAATCCACCATGAGAACCTGCACATACTCATTTTAGGGTGGTTCTGTACCCTTTAGGCTGTCTGTGGGAATGAGAGATTAGTTTATTTGGACATTATTTGCACATGTGCAAATATGTATACTAACCCAGTTAGAAACAGAACAATCTCACTGAACCTTTCACAGAGTTCAGTGAATTCGATTTTCCAAGGTTGCACCATTAGGGGACAGTCACTGGCACCCATGATTTCGCCCAAATCCTTCACTCTGCACAGATTGTGAAGAGAAAGTAGTAATGACTGAGATCCGGCCACTGCCTTCCTGGGTCTCCCAGCTACATGGAGAGGCAAATGATTATGACACTGAGTATTTGTCATGGGAGGGTGAGAAAGGGCTCCAGGAAAGGAGAACCAAGATCTTCCTCTTTGCAAAACCACACATTTATGGAGCATCTTAGATGTCCTAGACAGGGAGACAAGAAGGATGTGGTCCCTGTCCAAAGATGCCTTTGGCATCTGATATGCTTTGATGTCCACAATCCTACTCTAGACTCAGAATTTCCCTGCGTGATGCTTCTCATGACATAACAAGCCTGTTAAAACGCTCCTTTCCAGTCTGGACTGCCAGCTCCCCAAAGCTAACCCTCACATTGCTGATGTTCCTATAACCCATGCCTCTCTTAGCAAAAACAGCAGATGCTCATCAAACACCATGGATGCCAGGGGAAGGGAAGTTCATAAGTGAACGTATTATTAAAAGGTCACTGCTGTGATAAATGCCCTCAGAGGTAAAACGTGCCAAGACACTCAAGGAAGAGAGGACAGATGTCAGAGATGAGCGTGGGAGCACTGGAACTGGACTTTGGAGATGACTTGCAACACATGGAAGCCGAAGAAGAGAAGAGGGGTCGTGCTGAGAGTGAACAGCATGAGCAAAGCCAGGAGTCGGTGGAAGAGAGCCTTTAGGAAGGAGTGAATTGCATGCTTACCCTGAGTTAGGGCTGTACCATGAAGAATTGGAAACTGAACCTGGAAATGCAGGTCAGAAAACAAGAGAGGCCACGGTTGGTCAGGCAACCGTAATGACATATTGAGGGGTGTGTTTTAGACAGAGCCATTTGACAGTGGGAATAACAGGGAGTAGAAAGAGAGAGGCTGGGAGGAACCAGTTAGAAACACCCATTCTGAGTCAGCCGTCAGATTCTCTAAATAAATCTCCAGCCCTGTCTCTGCTGCCCAGGCCCCAGAAGAGTCATCCTGCATCAGTAGCAGCAGACCTCCTGTCCTTTGGATCATCAGGACCTATAAATAGCTACATGAATGTCACTGCCCTAGCTTGGCCACAGAGGCTCCAGGGCACAACCAACACTAATTCAGGTCTGCCAGTCACCCCACTGCCACTGGGGGAAGCCAGTTTGTGGTCCCCTGATAGCATAGGCAGGGGGCAGCAGGGAGGGATGACTGGTAGGATATTCCTGAGTCCAAATCCTGTCCCTAGACCCCCTGAAGATATCTCATACTAGCACAGAAGTGAGGGAGGATACTTAAACTTGGGACTCTGCATGCCTTTCCTTTAATCACACTTAGACACAGGGTGTGGGGATGGGGCCACGCTGAGGACTGTTTTCCAACAGGACCAGGCAAAGGTGAAGCCCCAGAGTGGCTGAGATTCTGGGGCTGAGCATGTGAGAACCTCAGCATGACCTACTGGAGAGTGATGCTGGCTCTTCCCTTCTTCTCTGGTGGCGGTGAGGCTTTAAGGAACTCTGGTTCTCTTGGAGGAATATTTCTGATAATGTTCATGAGCATGATAAGGTGCTGTTTTGGAATTTGAGGGGCCCTGTGCTACTCCCCAGCAGCTCCATCTTGGATATCCCTGAGGAAGGAGAGTCACAGTGCCTTCTACAGGTACAGCCATCATGACCAATAAGAACAATGTAAAGTTTGACCAATCTCAGCTGGGATATGACTTTGCCATTTCCTAGGGCTTGATATTAAGGAAGTCCTATAACTTCATTGAGTTTGAATGTTCTTATCTGCAAAGCAGGAGTCATTTCTTCCATCTTTACCACTGTGGGTTTTATTATTTCAGGTGGCAGTGTGCACATGCATGCTCTCTGAAACCTGCAAAGGTTCAGGAGAAGCAGGTCATGCTTTGACCCCCACCTAGAACTTTGTGCACGGCTGAGATCTAGAGGCCCACTGGGCTCCCAGAATCCAAAGCCTCCTTAGAAACAGTATCCTTGGAGAGGGATCAGGGCCCCATTCTAAGCCATCAGAGGCCTGATTTGGGTCACTTCAACTTAATACCTGCCTCCCTCCTTCATTGTAAGAATGAATTAAAATAATCTATGTAAAGAAGGAAGAGAGCAAACAAAAATTTATGACTTATGA